GTAACTAAAATTGGAAGAACGGGTATGAAAATGACATGTAGGAAATGTGGGGGATCAGGCCATAACAAGAGAACATGCACAACTGTCCAACCTGCAGATGCCAGCTCCCAGCCAGACTCAATAGCAGATGCTGCTTCGCAATCACAACCTACAAAATCACAAGGCAAGAGAAAAACATGTACATCCAGCCAGGCAGAGACACGGGCAACGAAGAAGGGGAAGGAAAACAAAACCTAGTTTCACTGATGTCCATTGATAGATTAGATTGGTTTTGTACTGTCCAAGATCTTTTGCATGGAACTTTTGATTGTGATGTGTTGACATGTTAGACCCATTTTATAATGTCCACATCCTTTTGTATGGGACTTTTGATGGTGAAAATGAATGTTCAGAAATGTAGTCATTTAATTCACTGTTATACTTTTCTTGTACTGTTTTGTTTTGTCGAGTTGACCTACAGAAGGTCATATCTTTGTGCACAACGTTCTGAAAATGTTAAGGACCTAAGCTGCAACTAATTCACACATATGGGACTTACTCTACAACTAGTCGACAGGGTTTAGGACTATAGGTACAACAATTGTGCACGTTTAGGACTGTATCTAATATTGAAAGATAAGGTTTGGGACCATTGCTTCACCATCTCGGAAACGTTTTGGAAACAAAGTTTCCCTTTCATTCTGTGTCAATCATTCACAGCCAAAAAAATGGAAAATCATAGGGAAGAACGAAATATCGAAGAACTGCTGCAGATTAACATATTTTTTCCAGGGATCAGCTGTTTGGATNAAAAATGGGAAGAAAGAAATATCGAAGAACCGCTGCATATTAACATATTTTTTTTCCAGGGAGCAGCTGGTTGGATCGTGCACACATTGGCGGGTCACACCAGTTCAAGAAATTACATCCACCCACATCTTGACGCCGTGGACAGCTGAAAAACCTTCTTCCTGGGTTCAGGTTCGTCCACGAAGTCTTCATCTCCACGGGGAACCCACATCTATAAACGGTCATCTCCATCTCCTCTCTGTAAAGTTATTGGTAGTTGCAGGAGAACATGTGAGAAAGAAAAGTATGAAATGGAGGGAAATGTACAGTAGGTTTGATGTATTTGACGGATTTTACTGAATGGACGAAATGCCCTTTATTAAATTGGTCAAAAGATCTTTTTTTTTTTCAGGTTAACTAACGGCTATTTGGATGGATTCCGTCCAAATGGACCTCCGTCGCACATTTTTGAAAGGTTTGGGACCACTGCTGGCACAAATCAAAGGTTAGGATAAAGTGCGCAAAAAATTGAAAGATTTGGGACCTTTGCTGCAATTATCCCTATCAATAATCAAAATTAACTATGGGAGCATAATATTCTATCGAAATGAAAATGGATTTCATGGCAAAACATGACTCTAATCAAAATTTTCAAAATAATGAAACAGACATGGTTTCTTTGGAACTCCAAATGAGGGCAATCATGTGAGTGGTGGAGAACAACACCAAAAAAAAACACACATAATTCAAATTAACCATAAAGGAAAACAGCCAAAAATGCTTCATATTAACAGCGTATTCTCTACGCAGGGAAAAAAACTGGAAAACAGGTTCAAAAAACATAAACGAAACAACAACTTCCATAGAAGTAACAATCTTAAAAGAAAATCAAATTTCTAGGTTTTGTAGCAAAAAAAAAAGAGTAAAACTAACATTTTATCAATACTCATAGGCCTGTAAAGAATTTGGATTCTTCAAAGTGATCAACCATGGAGTTCCATTGGGTTTCATAGCCCGATTAGAAGGTGAAGCTATAAAGTTTTTCAATTCACCACAACCCGAAAAAGAAAAAGTCTGGCCCTCCAAACCCTTTTGGCTATGGTGACAAGAAAATTGACCTGAATGGTGATGTAGGTTGGGTTGACTATCTTCTGTTCAGCACCAGCTCTCGAAAATTAATTCTCCCTGGAGTTTCAGAATCTTTCTGGTAAGAATTCTCAGTTTTATCTCTTTTTTTTTTTTACTTGGTAAATAAATGGCCTTTAATCCTTAACAACTTGCAGGTCTTTTGTGAATGAATATGTATCAGCAATGAGAAATTTGGCATGTGAGGTACTGGAAAAAAATAGTCGAAGAATTGAAAATCGGGCCAAGAGACATTTTGAGCAGGCTTTTAAGGGATGAGAAAAGTGATTCTTATTTTAGGATAAACCATTATCCTCCGT